TTGATTAGTGTATGTATAACACCCCGTATGCACCTGGTGTATTAACATACATATGATAGTAAACGCAACATGTTCAACTTAATTAATGCAGAAGCCAACTGAATAAATTTTCTCTTTTTTTCTTATGTATTGCAAACTTTTTCACTTCTATGGCCAAAATAAAACGGGCAATATTTCCTCTGTATTTTGGACCACTGGGGATAATTCCCACCAGGATAATTTCTACCTGATTGACCGTTTAATATAATCCAGGCATCCACCGTAGGCTATCTCATAATCATAATAGATCTCAAAATAATATCCATAAAGTTACTTATTTGATTACAGTATGACCGGTCAGACATAGTGTAGTTTGTAAAAAGCTTGTAAATCTTCCCCTATATATATAGAGAGAAAGATAGGATCTTTTGACACCAGTGTCAAATTTGAAATTTGACGCCTCATCTGAAAGTCATTAGATCAAAAAAATCAATGACTCTGATTTGTAAGCTTGTGACACATTGTTCTTTTTTTATCTAATGACTCTCAGATGAGGAGTCAAATTTCAAATTTGACACTAGTGTCAAATGATCCTACCTTATATATATATATATATATGGAAAAATTATATTTACAAATTTTTTGTTTATAAACTACATTATGTCTGACCAGTCATACACTAATTAAGAATGTATGACCGATTATATTTAGTGTAATTTATAAAAAAAAAAATTATAAATGAATCCTTCCCAATATACGTGTGCCATCTTTCATGACCACAAAATTCTTCTAACATGACCTTAATAATACCTATTCATATGAAATAAAGTAAGGTCAATACTAATCAATGTCAGTAGCGTAAGTAAAAAATATTGAACTGCATTCTAGTTAAATCAATTTTTTTGTCATGGAGCTTAATTAACTTTATAAGATTATACATTGAAACTTGAGTGTCCAAAAAAGAGCTTTTCTGATTGATAATTAACAATAATATAGTTGATAAATAGATATAGAATATTAGCATTTTTTTATTTTTTAATTATTAAAGCTTGAATTTTTTTTCTCTACAATTATTTATGCAGGAAAGAAGAAATTTGGACCTCGAAAAATTGTCTTGATTGCTGTCCTTGTTGCCATTTCGATAATTCTGTTGTGTTTCGTCTGCTATTTTCTACTGAGAAGATCAAGGAAAAATTATAAGACTCTTCTAAGGGAAAATTGTTAGTAATTTGAAATGAAAACTCAAATCCTTTCTCAACTCTTGATTTAGAAGGTTAATTTGGTGATTTTTGGCTTGCCTAACTTGATGTTGCTGCAGTTGGGGATGAAAGTGGCACAATACAGTCGCAACAGTTCAATTTGGCCACAATTGAGGCTGCCACAAATAAGTTTTCCTATGAAAACAAAATAGGAAAAGGTGGATTTGGAGAGGTTTACAAGGTGATGAAATGTAATGAAAAATGAATATGTATGTTTGTTTCTCATACTTAACTGATTGGTTATAATTTCAGGGTGTTCTTTTAGATGGACGAGAAATAGCTGTAAAAAAACTCTCGCAAAGTTCACGACAAGGTGTAGTAGAATTCAAGAATGAGGTTTTGTTAATAGCAAAACTTCAACACAGAAATCTTGTGACATTATTAGGATTTTGCTTGGAAGAACAGGAGAAAATGCTTATTTATGAATTTGTGCCCAATAAAAGTCTTGATTACTTTTTATTCGGTAAATAATTTCTATTCTCACCTTTATTTATTGTTAAATTTTAAAATTTATGTGTTGATATATAAATTTTCACTTTTCTTACTTGAGTGGATTTTGACAAGTATAGACCCTCACAAGAGCAATCCATTGAGTTGGTTTGAGCATTACAAAATTATTGAAGGAATTGCACGTGGAATTCTTTATTTACATGAGCATTCACGATTAAAAGTAATACATCGTGATCTCAAACCTAGTAATGTGTTGTTAGATAACAACATGAATCCAAAAAACTCAGATTTTGGCATGGCAAGGATGGTTGCTATAGATCAAGATCAAGGAAATACTAATAGAGTTGTTGGAACATTGTAAGTATTTTTGAATCTTTATTCTTTTCAAATCTTGTTCTCCTTAATTTCTTCATTTCTTCAGTAGTTGGAACATCGTGCTTGAATCCATTTTAAATGTGATTTCAGATTTATTATTGTCAAATATGTTCTATACACAATTTCTAATGTTGATATTTTTATATAGTGGTTATATGTCTCCAGAATATATAAAGTATGGGCAATTTTCAGAAAAGTCTGATGTCTTTAGCTTTGGAGTCATAGTTTTGGAGGTCATTACGGCTAAAAGGAATGCCCATCCTCTTGTATCATCAGATGATGATAGCCTCCTAGCTTATGTGAGTATTTATTTCTTTGTTTCAATAGTAGAATACTTTCATATTAGTTGTTGAGATGTATAGTCCCACATTGGTTAGATGTGCAACTAATGTAGCCTTTATAAGGCCTTGGGCACTCCCACCGTCAGAGCTAGCTTTTGGGTGGTGTATCCCAAGGTTCTTTACATGGTATCAGAGCTTGAGCCCTCACCGCCTCCCACTTTAAAGTGGAATTAAAATAAAAAAGCACAAAAGGTAAACCAAAAATTGGGCCTGTGCAATTCCACGCTTCTAGCCCAAAGGACTCTTGCGTGAGGGGACATGTTGATATATATAGTCCCACATTGGTTAGATGTGCAACTAATGTGGCCTTTATAAGGCCTTGAGCACTCCTACCCTCAGATCTAGTTTTTGGGGTGGTGTATCCAAAAGTTTTTTACATTAGTTAACGGAGAATTCTAAGAAGCATTAAGAAATAATCCAAATATTAGTTCACAAAAAAAGGAAATAATCAAAATATTTAATTCAGAAAATTGTTGCAGGTTTAGAGACAATGGAGAGATCAAACACCTTTAAATATATTACATGAAGGTATTAAAGAATCTTGCAATCATAGTGAAGTCATTAAATGCATCCATATTGGTTTATTATGTGTGCAAGAGAAGCCAGATCATAGACCCACAATGGCAAGAGTTGTTTCATATCTATGTAGCCCGTTAGTTGAGTTGCCATCTCCCGGAGAACCAGTGAATTCTATGCATAATAATGGAATAGTGCAAAAGATGGTAGCAGACGAATCGAGTTCAGGTTCCACTTTCTCAGTCAATGAAATGTCCTTGAGTAAATTTATTCCTCGGTAGTACTAGTAGGAATGCTAAACGAACATGGGTCTTTGGTTGGGCTCGTGAAAGCGTGAGCTTACATATCTAAAATTGGTTGTTTACACCAGACTTGAACATATATAAAAGCCCGTTTAATAAAAAGGCATCAAGTTCCAATCCAAAAGCTCGGCCTTAGAGCCTCTCAGGCTAGCCTAATATATTATTATTTTTTGTTTTATATTTTTTATACTACTTGTAATAGTTCTCTCTTTCTCCTCAATCCATTTCACCCCATTTTATTGGTTAAATAGTTTTTGAATGATTTTATTTTATATTATGCTGTTTGGATATACATTGAATTTATGAATATTTATGGAATTACTAGTGTTGTTGATTGTATATTCTGTTTGGATAAATTTTTGTTGTCTTATTTTTTATAAACAGACTAACAGACTAAACCAGACTTTTATTTTTTTATAAATAAGTCAGGCCACATGTCGATAATTATATTTATAACAAGTAACAGACTTGACAGACTTAACCCTTTAAAACCAAATCTCGGCTCTGCTCGTTAACATCCGCTCTACGTTATCAATCGATGTCTTGGAACTCATTTAATTTGTTCTTTTGTAGTATCGCTCACTCTCCTTTTGTGCAAACTGAGATAGAATAATCCTTAATATGTATGACCTTCTCTCTTGATCTTAAACCTTGCTTGGTAAACCTTCTGATTGCATTGAGTTTTCACAATGGAATAAGAATTAATAGAATGATTTGAAATTATTATTTGAAACACAAAATATATGTACGGGTAACTTGTTATTTAACAAAAGTGGACTTAGATTAACCCATGGACACCTTGCTTAATTGATTGATATTTCAAGAATTCGGGTTGAGTTTAAAAAAGGGGAACAAATGGAAAGTAACCAAAATTTTTAGAAATTAAAAACAATTAGTATTTTAGGAACTTATAGATTAACGAGAAATAATTGAAAATTTTCTAACATCAAAGTAGTGTTTTACACTATTTTATTTTAAAGAAGGGAAAACTTCAGAAAAAAACCCCTATAACTTTTCTCATAATCATTTACCCTCTCTCCAAAATTTTGAATCATTTACCCCCTTGACTTAAAGTTTTTTTATCATTTACCCTCTAAGTGAGGGGTGTAAATGATAAAGAAACTTTAAGTGAGGGGGGTAAGTGATAAAAAAAAATATAAATAAGAGTGTAAATAATTCAAAAATTTTGTGAGGGGGGTAAGTGATAATTAAGAAAACTTATAGGGGGATTTTTGAAGTTTTCCCTGATAATAAGAGTGGGGTTTTCAAGCTCTGCTACATTATGACCATGTACCAGGTTTTCTAGGTCAAGAGCCCTCGCGTTTGGAATCTCAATGCCAACTTGCTTCTTTTTCCTACTCGTATATGTGATTTCCTTTGGATGCTGCTAGCTGCAAAATTACCTTTCTTCCTCATTAACTCTTTGGCTCTATCTAATGATTCCTCCTTTTGTAATTTTTCTGCAGAAATTGCATACCCTAGTTTTTGTGTCATTTTTCTCAAAGGAATGACAAAATTTTCACCCTGGACTAGTCTTCTTAGCAGCCCTTGAAGTTTGTGATGATCCTCGGCTTGTCTTTCCATTATCAATGTGAAAGAACGAACAGAAAAGTGAGAACCACTTAACAGAGAACATAAAGGACAGAACATAGACTCCGAAAAGAGAGAGGAATAAAGAGAGACTCAGAATAGATAGGAAAAGAAAGACACTCGAAGAACAAAGAGGAATAGCGAGAGATTAAGAGAAAATAGAAAAATTGAGAGACTGAAAGAACATTCTACGATTTTTCCGTGAGCTCTTCTTCAGTGGAGAGGTCGTCGGCTCCACCATTAACGTAGGGAGAGATATCAGCACAATGCGTCGTCTTCTTGCTGAAATCACCATCATGGGTAGGACTCACTTCCATCCTTAGAGGAAAAAATCCCACATTCTAGAATTATATAAAGATCCGAAAAGGTATAATCAAAACCCAGATAAGAAACACGAAAAATATTTTAAATTTAATGATTTCAGAAGCAGTAAAGGGGGCTAAGCATTTTTTGCAGGGGCAGAAATCAAGAAGACAATAGAGTTTTGATAAATTCACTCTGCTCTGAAGCTTTCTGGCACTGCGAGGGATTAGAAATACTAATTAAGAATCGGAAGAGAGATTTCTGCAATTCCGCTTACAAAATTGATGTGGGCAAGCGGTGGCCAGTGGCGGCGGGTGTGGCGCAACAGCATAGCTACTGCCTGCTGGTGGTGATGGGTTGAGGGGTATTTTTGTCTTACAAATTATCTGATATTCTTAATTGTTATAAGAGAAAACTTCAAAAACCTCCCTGAAAGTTTTGTCAGAATCACTTACCCCTCCCCAAAAAATTTAATCATTTACACCCGTACTTAAATTTTTTTTATCACTTACCCCCTAACTTGATTTTTCATCCAAAGTAAAAGTTAACGGAGTTAGTCTTTTAAAAAATACCAAAACTACCCTTAAAAAAAGAAATTAACCCCTTAACACCATTTTGTTATCTTGTAATTTTTTTTTCCAGCCCCACTATATGTTTCACCTTTCGTTTGTAAAAGATGAACTAATTTTCAATGCTTCCATGTATTAATTAAAGGACCAAAGGTGTAAATATTTTCAGCAAGTAAAAAAAATGGACAACAAAAAAAATTAATTAAAGGACCAATTTCATTAACTATTATCCATAAGATAACATGTCTGGACAGCAAAAAAAAATGGGTTTCCAAAAAATCTGGAAAAACAACAAAAAGCTTCAAAAAAATCTTCTTTCAAGCATATTAATCTAAAAAAAAAAATTGGACAGCAACCTGCAAAAAAATACATCATAGTCATCCATTGCAACCTGCAAAAAATGAGTCAATAGTTCAAAAAACATACAACCAAATATGTTATTCTACATATTTTTGCTGGCGTTTGGAACTCGTTAACTATTTATCATTTGAATTGTTGATTGGGTCGGTTATTGTCTTTTATATATATATATATATGATTCAAGAACTCGCAAATTCTCGCAAATGACAGAACTCGCTGATTGAAGAATTCAGAATTCGCAAATTCTCGTAAATGGCAGAACTCGCTGATTGAAGAATTTGCAAATGGTATAGAATCATATAATTCGCAAATGGTATAGAATATCCAGTGCTGTGTGTTTTTTTAAGGGTAGTTTTGGTATTTCTTTAAAAGGCTAACTCCGTTAACTTTAACTTTGGATGGAAAATCAAGTTAGAGGGGTAAGTGATAAAAAAGTTTTAAGTAAGAGTGTAAATGATTAAAATTTTTGGGGAGGGGGTAAGTGATTCTGACTAAACTTTCAGGGGAATTCTTAAAGTTTTCCCTTGTTATAATTATATAGTATAAAGAGATTAATCACTCCAATTAAAAGTATAAGGTGCTTATTTGAAAAAATTGGTGGTTTTATGTAATTTAGTTTTTTATTTTAATTTTTTTTTAAATTAATTATACATTTTTTATAATTTTGATTAATTTGTTAATCTTTATACTTTAAATTTTACTTAAATTAATAATACATATTTTTAATTATTTTTTATATTTTTTATTTTATGTAAATTTAAAAGTACCTCTTCCGTTCCATGCACTAATAATTGCTAATTATTTTAATTTGCCTTCAAGTAAAGAAGCTACATCTTACGGGCAGCTCTAATGGCTTGGACTGTGAATAAAAAAAGAAGCGTTACAGTTTACCTGTTTAGAAAAAAATGTGTTATAATGTGTATTTGTTTTTTTTATTTTATTGTCTCTAAAAGAAATGGAAAAAGAAAAACTTAACTTTTTTTAAGGGATTACACACACACATATATATATATAGGTTTTTTTTCACCCTTTTGCACCTCATTAATTAATTAATAATCATTTTGTCCCTGATTCGAAACTATCGACCAATCTGCCCCTCTTTAATCGACTACCTTGCAATTTTAATCGATTAAATGGTCAAAACAGGCAAAAATGGCTCTTGGGAAATTTAATCGATTAAATCTCCCTATTTAATCGATTAAATCTCCCAACAGACAACAAAGGGAAACAAGTCAGTATGATTATTTAATCGATTAAGTAGGGAGATTTAATGGATTAAATCTCCCAACAACCATCTAATCGATTAAAAATGCAATTTAATCGATTAAAGGGGTAGATTGGTGGATAATTTTGAATCAAAGGCAAAATAATTATTAATTAATTAATGAGGGGGAAAATGGTGAGTCCTTCCTTTTTGCCTCTCTGCTCTTAATTTCATTTTCTGTTTGTGTTTGGTAAAATTGTGGCTTCGAAATCTGAAATATTTTGTTTTTTGTATGCGTTTGTGTTTGTTTCGTTGTATCCTTTTCCTTTTTGCCTGAATCTGTTGGATTCACTTTCATATGCTTTTGATTTTGGTTTAGTGGAGCAAAATTTTGATTCTGTTATTTATTTATTAATTTCATGCGGAAAAGTCAAGTTTATTCCCCAATCCTGGATCCAAAGACCAAATTCAATTCGTTAATCAGTGTTGGGGCCTTTTTCTGAAGCTTTGGTCTTTGTCTATGTGGTAGTTCTATGCAATAATTAGGATAATACAGGGGGATTTTAACATCTGCAGTTTGGCTTGCTTTTTTTTTTTTTGAGATAATAGGTTATCGATAGAAGGTCCTTGCTTGTTGTCGATCATGTTTCTAGGTAGCTTGTGCTTATTCGCATAACCGTTAGATATTGGGCGGATTAAATGGTTGTAGATTGATTTGTTCACTTTCAGTGTTGCATACAGGTTTATTCTTGTTAATTGACTTTTTTTGCTGTGTGTAGTTCTTTGTCTTAGCCGCTTGGTAATGCTTGCTCGTGGACTTTTTCTTTTGTGGCTTAATGTGATTGAGATTGAATTGGTATGTTAATATACTTGTTAGCCTTTTTTGTTTTTTTGGTAAACAATATACTTGTTAGCCTTGGTTGCAGGTAGCTCCTTTCCTTATAGCTTTGAATAGTATAAGAAGGAAATTAAAACATTAATATTTCTTTTTATTATTAAAATTAAAAAGAAGGTAACCTTATTCTCCTAACATAGCCTAAAGGACCCCACCATCAATATATCAAATTCAAAAAAAAAAGAGAGTGGTAAATACATAGTGCAAGTATGCTGGCTTAGCTAATTTGAATGTTTATTTTAATAATTTTAAAATCTATACTTTTATTTATATTTTAAATTCTGATTAATTAATTGTGCATAAATATTATGTTTCTAAAATATGAATATTATATAATTTATTAACTTTCAAACAAGTCATAAATACTTTACGCATTTATAAGTTGTAATTTGAAGTCGCATAAATAATTTTATTATGTTTCTAAAATATAAATATTATATATCTAACATACCCGTTTTACAAATAATTTTACTAGTGAGTTTTTCGAATGTGATAAAAGCGCAATATTGTCGTCAGTGCTATCAAAGTAGAACATCAGAAGATAAAATTTGTGAAAACAGAACTCAGTAGCTATTGACTTCCCTTTTTCTCTTTCCTTCTTCCAAGTAGTGACCGAGTTACTCATGCTTTGAATTATTGAATATTTTCCTACCCTTTCTCTTAATTGATCGTATCTAGTAGTATTATTGGAAGGAAATACTATAAAGTATGACAGATTATATGCCTATGAAGGTCTATGAATATGGAAGAAATAATCCCATCTGCTTTAAATTACTCTAAATTTGTCTTATGCCTCTTTAATTTTCATTGTAACAATGAAGGTCTATGTTGAAAATAAAAACTCAGACTAAGACTTACCTGCAACATCTTTCTTTGCCTTCCTCCTCCTCAAATATATGCAGATAAAAAAGAGCAAAACAAAAACAGCAACAACAGTCGGCACAACTATGGCTATGGCAGTTCGTGACATGTTGCCCTTTCCTGCAAAAACCAGAATCCTCAGCTCGGCGAGAGAATTCAAGGATTAAGGATAATAAAATATTAATAAGTCTAACAACTAATCACAGAGAAAAAGGGCAATATAAGCACCACTCACAGCACTTAAAGCAATTAAGCAAAATGTGACAAGTACCTTGTGAGGAAGTGTTATTGGTGGATGGTGAAGACAGTGGTGTTGGTGGTGGTACATCTGTGTCTGATATTGGCGTAGGTTCGTAGAAGCCGTAGGTTTCATATCTAACATTACAACTGGGCCTAACGACTCTACCACCTAGCTGGCCATCGAACAAAGTTGGGAATTCTGAGATAACCCCATCCAAGCAGTCATTACAGTATTGTCGTGACAAATCAGGCGTGCACTGCACAACACCGTATAAATATTTGGTTTGAAAAGTTGCATTTGCCGTAGCATACTTACGACGAGAATCACCTGATGCAGCTCTGTCTTTTAAATTCCTCATCAAGTTACCGAGCACTTGATTCAACTTATCCACCTCTGTTGCATTGTATCCGTTCCACAAATTAAAAAAAGGTGAAGTTTCCATGATGCCGAATATTGAGCGGTTCGAGTACCGCGTGGCTCTTACCGCAACATGCAACATGCATATGTCTAATAACTGTCCAACAATGAGGCTCTTACCACACAAATAATGAGGCTCTTACCACTTCTAATAACTGTCTATTTCGCCTTTCGGCGAAACCATTCTGCTGAGGTGTATAGGTGCAAGATGTTTGGTGTTTGATTCCTTTAGAGAGGAGAAAGTCAGAGAATGGTTTATTTTTGTACTCAAGGCCATTATCTGATTGAAATATTTGGATGGAGCTATTAAATTGGTTTTGAACCATGCTATGAAATTGCTGAAACAAAGAAAAGACTTCAGTTTTATTTCTAAGAAGTGAAATCCAAACCATGCGAGTACATTCATCAATGAAAGATACATAGTAATGAGAATGAGAGAGGGAGGGAACCTTAGAAGTTCCCCATACATCTGAATGAATAACTTGAAAGGGAATACAACTCTTATTGGGGCTGGGATAATACGAAATGCGATGGCTTTTTGCCATTTCACAGACAGAACACTTAAAAGAGGATGGGTTGCACCTAGAAAATAGATTTGGAAATAACTTTTTAAGGGAAATGAAGGAGAGATGTCCAAGCCGTGTATGCCAGAGCCAGATTTTGGACTGGTTGGAATCCGGAGTTGAAGCTGAAAGAGGAGTGGAGTCAGAGATTCTGGTAGCAGAGGTCAGAGGCTTCGAATGGGGATCATGATGGAGGTCCAAGAAGTAGAGGTTGCCATGTCTAACACCATAGCCAAGAATCTCCTGTGTTCGGACGTCCTGAAACTCACAAAATGTGGGCCAAAAAATCACAGAACAATGAAGTTGTGATGTTAGTTGACTTACAGAAATTAAATTGAAATCCAAGGAAGGGACCACGAGGACAGAAGTGAGAGTAAGAGATGGGGTCAGAGAAATGGTGCCCTGACCAGTGATGGGGGCAGAGCCACCATTAGCAGTGGTAATGGTTGTTTTACTGCAAGGAGAGCATTGTCGCAAGGCAGAGGCATCTCGGATCATATGATCCGATGCTCCAGTATCAATAATCCATGAGCTATTTCTAGAGTGAGCAGAGAAAGCAAGGTGATTACCTAATATACCTTCGTAGACAGCATGAGCTTGAGGAGATGCAGAAGATTCACCTTCGGATGAGGATTGCAGAGCTTTGGATGTGACTTTCCGTCGAGGCCTTTTGGTGAAGTCCCACCAATCGGGGTATCCAATGACTTCATAGCATCTGGACTTGGAGTGTCCCGAATCACCACAGTGAGAGCAAATCAGTGGTTTGCCAGAGGAGGAATCTTTGCGAGGCTTGGAAGAGGGATGCGTCGAAGGAGAACGGGTGACCATGGCAGAGGAGTCTGGTGTGACATGTGGACGGTTCATGATGATGCGCTGTTGATGTTCACGGCGGAGGAACGCATATGTGTTCTCAAGATCCAACTTTGGATCTTTACGAAGGATCTCACCGCGGACTTGGTCGAACTCAGGATCCAGTCCGCTAAGAAATATGTAGACCCGCAGTCGTGCCATAGATGAGTGTGCTTGGGTCACTGCCGTGACCGTGGTCGCTGGGGAGGCCACGCGGTGGTCAATCTCCTGGAAGATGGAGAGGAGATCGTTGTAGTAAGTGGAGAGTGGGCGGCCAAGCTGTTTAGTGGAGAACGAGCGTTGATGAAGCTCGAAGATGCAGGTTTCGTCCGCTCCATCGTAGAAGGTGCGAAGGGCGGCATCCCAAATATCGCTTGCGGATTCGAGGCGGATAAACCTTTGCATTAAGGGGGGGGGGGTCATAGATTCGATTAGCCAACTCTTCACTCTCTTATTTTCGGTGACCCAGGTGGCGTATTGAGGGTTGGCGAGAGGAGGTTTCGCGGTGGCTCCGGTGAGATAGCCAGACTTGTTTCTAGCTCCAATACGCATGTCCATTAATTGGGACCAAAGGGGATAGTTTGACTCATCAAGAATCACAGTGACTGGAAAGGAGGAAGTATCTTGTTGGATGATGATGTTTGGTGGTGGGGCAGGTGGAGATGGTGGGGTGGAGTTGTCGTCGGTGAGGGGAGGGATTTCCATGAAGAAGAAGAAGGGATATTGAGATAGGATTCGGGTAAGGAAAAAACGTCGGGTCGGGTCGGTTAGGAGAGGTACGGTTCGGGTAGGTTGAGGAAAAAAAAAAGGAAAAAAACGATGTGGTGCCTGGATCAATAACAAACTGATACCATGTTAAAAATGAATTCTCTATTATGTGAATACTATTCATCATAGTCATACCTCTGAAATGAGGTGTTTATATACAAATGGCCTTTAACAACTAAGCCACAAAATCAGGAAACTAACTCTACAAATATGCTAACCTCCTAACAGTAAGCAACAAATAAACAAACTCGTTCCTATCTCTAGGAACAACATTTCAATTTCAATTTCTATTTTCAACATGCCTCTTTCTGATTCGGACAGAGCTGTGTGAGGTTGACTCTGGAATCGTCGAGGCAACTGCGGCACTCATCTGGCCTAACATCTCCTCTACACAGCCCAATGGCGTTCACTTTGTTAGTGTTTTGACCATATGAGAAATTGTAGAATCCGTAGTCAATTTCTGTGTTGGAAGTGAGAGTGGACAAAAGTTTGTTGAGATTTGTGTGGTAGGTGCTATTGGGTGTGTAGTTCCCTTTGATGTTATCACAGGATTGGGATAGGAAAATTGGGCTGGAACTGGCTTGAGACATTATTATTTGAAAGAGACAACAAAGAAAGGAAAGCAGCTTAGAAGAAACAGCAGCCATTATAATTGCCCTCTGGGAATGAGTGGTAACAAAACCGAAGATTGAAGCTTCAACATGACGAAGCTTTAACAATGACGTGATTGGGACAAGGTAGTGTTTATTACTCACCGATATGACAAAGAAGGCCACCCAGTTTGCTATAACGTTATTGGTGAGTTTGAGAACAAGGAGCTGTAAAACAATACCTTTTCTGACGAGAAGCGCAACAAGTTCATCAGATAATAAGTATATTGTTATTTTATTTAATCATAGTTAGTTGTAACTGTGGTTAGTTAGTTGTAATTGGTTATGGAACTTTATTATTTTTTCCCTTTTTCATGTTTGTATTGTACTGCATCACTGATGTAAGGTTTCTTCTATTGATTCAGTAAAGTGATTTTCTTACTGTAAGATGGTATCAGCTGAAAATTAGAATTCTGCTGTTTGTCAGCTTCATACCCATGGGTCTGAAGCGAATCCTTCAACCACCGAACCAAATCCTTCAACCACTGGAGTGAATTCTTCAGTGCATGTACGTTCTCAGGTCGAAGATCCTGCTAGCCCTTTCTTTCTTCACCATTCTGACAATCCTAGGCTTGTCGTAGTCTCTCAGCCCTTGACCGGTGACAACTATAATTCATGGAGCAGAGCAATGAAAATTGCCCTATCGATTAAAAACAAATTGGGGTTTATTAACGGTTCTATTGCCAAACCTAGTGATGCTGATCTTATTCTTCAAAGCTGCTGGTCTCGAAATAACGACATTGTTATTTCCTGGATTTTGAATTCAGTCTCCAAAGAAATTTCCAGTAGCATCACCTACTCTGGTTCGACTCGTGATATTTGGGTGGACAAAGCAATAGACCAAGAATCTTTCAGTTGCGCCGTGATCTCACAACCCTCACTCAAATCAAGCTTCCGTGAGTGTGTATTTCACAAAACTTAAATGGGAAGAGTTGAGCAATTTTCGCCCCTCTTGTGATTACTGTCAAAACACCTGAAATTCTGAATCATTAACGTTTAAGAAGAAGGTTATACTTACTACTAAATCTTAACCGTTGATTTTTGCTAATCTAATAGTTATAGTTTATTATAAATTAATAATTAATTAATAAGTATGATCTCATAAATTATAACCGTTAAATTAACAAAAAATCAACGATTAAGATTTGGTAGTAATAGATAGTAAGAAAAATAGGTAGTAAGTATAACCTCTCCGTTCTTATATATGGATTTTGGGCGAAATTATTGAGTGCCTTAATTGCTTGTTCATATTTGTCATTGAATATTTATAATTGATAACTTTTAAACGGTTTTTTTATTTATGTGAATAGATAATAACGGTTTAAGGATTGCGAGAGGGAATAGAAAATATAGTGAAAAGGAGAGAGGGAAAAGGGTAAAAATTCAAAACTTTGATTCCCTCGCGGGCCAAAATGGATTTTCCAATGACAAAACCTTGTTAGGCGATACCATTGGCCTTCAAATGATTGGCAAACAAAAGCAGCCTTCGTCTGAATCTCCCTTGCTCGACGCACACCATGTCGCGTCATATTCCTTAACTCACAACCCCTCATTTTACAAATCCTCACCTCGACCATGTTGCTTGGCGAAACTGATAAAAGCTTTGTAATTTTATCCTCGATCATCACTGCTCGCACGCCAAACCTTCATTTTCGTTCTTCATGTTTTTTTTCTCTCTTTCTATTCTTTCATTAATTCATTTTCCCCCAGATTTGTAAAATCTCTCGACTAGATCACGTCGATACGCATTTGACTTTGTTTTTGTCGCTCTCTTGCTTTGGTCGTCGAAAGGTACAAAGTTTGTTTTAAAATTCAATATTTATTTATCTCATCTATTTTGGTTTCCAGAATCGAAGGTGGAAACTCAATGCCTGGTTCTGTTTTCTAACCCCGAGTGGTGTTTTTTAACGTTTGAGAATCACTAAGGAAAATCTATCATATTTTTCATGTTTCTTTGATGTTATTACTTTACCTTCTATTAACTTTTTTTTGATTTTTTATTTTTTTAATGTTGCCGTAATGAAGTTTCAAATGCAAAAGTTTACAACGAAGATAGTCGATATGATGAAAGCAGAAAGGTTATACGAGTCTCAGGGTGGTCCAATAATTCTATCTCAGGTAGATTAATCCAGTAACTTGCTTTATATTTTCTAGTAATTTTTTATTTTTTTTGAAGAGTTATAACCTTGTTACTCATTGAGTAAAAATGGAGATATATACTGAAAGTATTGCCTTATTTCACCATTGTTTTTACTCAGATTGAAAATGAATATGGACCTATGCAGTATGAAATTGGTGCTCCTGGTTAGGCCTATTGTGATTCCAATATAAATTTTTTGCAGATTAACACTTGCAACGGCTTCTATTGTGATTATTTCTCTCCAAATAAGGCTTACAAACCAAAGATGTGGACAGAAGCTTGGACTGGCTGGTATAATAATATGTCGCTTGTATTTGGTGCCTTGTTACTTCTTAGGTTTTCCTAGGAATGAGAAATATACAAGCTAAGAGTATTGCCTGAATGTTCATTACATGCGTTTGTTTTGTGAACTTAATAGGTTTACCGAGTTTGGAGGTCCAGTTCCTCATAGACCTGCTGAGGACATGGCATTTTCAGTTGCACGGTTTATACAGAAAGGGGGATCATTTGTCAACTATTACATGGTAACTTCAGTGTTTGTTGATTTCAATGTGTCGATCCTTCCTTTCTTCATTCAATCAACTAAATCCCCTTTGTTTTGTCCATTCCAGTATCATGGGGGAACTAATTTTGGTCGAACTGCTGGTGGTCCATTCATTGCTACCAGCTACAATTATGATACACCTATTAATGAATATGGTATGCACAAAGGATTCCAATACCTATGGTCCATATCTACTGATATTATGATAATTTTTTTGTTTTTAAATTTGGCATATCTATGGAGTAAAGCTCAAGTTTATGATAAGATTTGTGCAACCTTACCGACTGCTGTGAAACATAGCACAATTGAACATTGCTTCTGATACTTTTACATTAACCAAAAATCCTAGTCAATATTGCATCACTTTTTCTTTGTTATTGGCTGCAAATTCTATTATGATATTATGTTTTGCCACACGTTTGTTGTGTGACAATGAAAAATTTGTACATGTAGTACTGATGATCTAAAGACGACTGCTGCCGATTAACTCAGATTGTAAAATATTGCGAATCTGTGTATCCTGTGTCTATTGTTGGGGGGTCCTTGCCTTGACTATGCTTCATTCATTTTCTTATTATATGTAAAGAACTGAATACTGGTCAATCCTTGGTTATAACATTATTGATAAATTTTATTTATTTTGGTTTCTTCAGTGTTGTCATCAATCCCAATTCATGAATTTAATGTTGTGATGTAACATTACAAATGTAAAAATTCTTATATAATGCCAACTAATTTGGTTACATATATATTTTAATCATGTATTTTGAATTTTCCAATCAGTTAATGAAAAATCCAATTAATTTGGTTGAAACATTATCAAACTCATATAAAGATGCCTCCTCCCTTTATAAAAGTTCGAATTCTTATATTAAGGCACGTTTGTTTGAAATTTTTTAAATAAAAATGTACTCTTAACTAAAAAATGTGTTTAAAAATTTATTGATAATTAGACATGGGATTAACGACTTTCTCTTGTTATAAGATATAATTTTATTTCCTTCAACTCAAAATGACGTCATTCTGGAATTTAAGATTAAAAATGAAAGATATTTTAGTAAAATTTATAATACAAGAGTAAAGTAAAATATTTAAAATATCCATTATTTTTAATCCTAAACTCTAAAAAAATATGATTTTGAAGTTGTAAGAGATAAAATTATCTCATGTGAAAGGAGAAATAATTTTTTCACTAGATATTTGATTTTAAACGTTGGGGAGGGTTAATTTATAAATTTTTTGTTTACAAACTACACTATATACTCCAAAAAGTACACTAGGTTACACTGTATTTTCGAGGGTACATATATAGTGTAATTTGCAAAATTTATAAAAGAAATTTGTAAACGAATCATTTCATAAAACATCATTTTAATTTTCTTTTAAGTTAAAAGCTTGAATTTAATTAAAAAAATTTAAAACTTATAAAAAAATTCAAAAACTTATTCAAACAAGAGGAGGGTTATAGTTACAATTTTTTTTTTTTATAAACTACATTATGTATTCGGGATAGTATTCTGTGTGCTGAAATGTACTATCCATAATACATAGCGTAGTTTATAAGAGTCTATAAAGAAAAAGTTTGTAACCATAATCCTCCTCTTTAAACAAAGGGTTTTATAAGAGTTATGTTGTAGGAAAAATGATTGTGTCATGTTACTGAGATTCGTTTTCCGTGTCTTAGTTTTTTTTTTTTTTTTAAAAATGCGGACCTCACAAAATGTTGTGTGTAGGAAACTTTACCATGTCATGTTAAAGGACAAACAAAAACCCTTAAACAAACTTTAAAACTGCATTCAAATAAATTTAATAATAAAAATCTATTCAATGCATTTTTTTTTCTTCTCTACGGGCCACTTAACACATCTTAGTGGGACTCTAGCGATTTTTTTAAATGTTACTTCCACCTATAGAAGGACATTAAATCGTATATCTTTTACAGGAAAAGTGTTTGTCATTTAAAATGATATAATTTATGTCATTTCACTCTCACAAAGATATGAAATCCACACCTTTATTATTTTTTGTCCACTCTTTCTTCCCCTTTATCTAT